TATTTGCCAATTATACATCAGACAAAGGACTGATAACCAGAATATACAGGGAACTTAAAAAACTAAATTCTCCCAAAACTAATGAACCAATAAAGAAATGGGCAAGTGAACTAAACAGAACTTTCTCAAAAGAAGAAATTCAAATGGCCAAAAACACATGAAAAAATGCTCACCATCTCTAGCAATAAAGGAAATGCAAATTAAAACCACACTAAGATTCCACCTCACCCCTGTTAGAATAGCCATCATCAGCAACACCACCAACAACAGGTGTTGGCGAGGATGCGGGGAAAAAGGAACCCTCTTACACTGTTGGTGGGAATGTAGACTAGTACAACCACTCTGGAAAAAAATTTGGAGGCTACTTAAAAAGCTGACATCGATCTACCATTTGATCCAGCAATACCACTCTTGGGGATATACCCAAAAGACTGTTACTCCAGAGGCACCTGCACATCCATGTTTATTGCGCACTATTCACAATAGCCAAGTTATGGAAACAGCCAAGATGCCCCAGCACTGACGAATGGATTAAGAAAATGTGGTATCTATACACAATGGAATTTTATGCAGCCATGAAGAAGAACGAAATGTTATCATTCTGGTAAATGGATGGAATTGGAGAACATCATTCTGAGTGAGGTTAGCCTGGCTCCAAAAGACCAAAAATCGTATGTTCTCCCTCATATGTGGACATTAGATCAAGGGCAAACACAACAAGGGGATTGGACTATGAGCACATGATAAAAGCGAGAGCACACAAGGGAGGGGTGAGGATAGGTAAGACACCTAAAAAACTAGCTAGCATTTGTTGCCCTTAATGCAGAGAAACTAAAGCAGATACCTTAAAGCAACTGAGGCCAATAGGAAAAGGGGACCAGGAACTAGAGAAAAGGTTAGATCAAAAAGAATTAACCTAGAAGGTAACACCCACGCACAGGAAATCAATGTGAGTCAATGCCCTGTATAGCTATCCTTATCTCAACCAGCAAAACCCCTTGTTCCTTCCTATTATTGCTTATACTCTCTCTACAACAAAATTAGAGATAAGGGCAAAATAGTTTCTGCTGGGTATCGAGGGGGGGAGCGGGAGGGGGTGGAGTGGGTGGTAAGGGAGGGGGGGGGCAGGGGGGAGAAATGAACCAAGCCTTGTATGCACATATGAATAATAAAAGAAAAATGAAAAAAAATAAATAAAAATAAAGTAAAAAAAAAAAACAAAAAAAAAAGGGCTGGTGGAGTGGCTCAAGGTATAGCCCCTGAGTTCAAACCCCAGTCTGCAAAAAAAAAAAAAGAAAATGTGCAGCATGAAACAGGGTTAGCGAGCAGCTCAAGTGCCTGTCTAGCAAGCCTGCCCTGAGGAATTTTATTGTTCCTTCCTCACAGGGCAGAGGGGAGAATTACAATGAATGTACTTCTCCCAAGTTGCTGTATATGACCTTATTTCTTCTTTTTTTTTTTTTCGTGAGGTACTGGGGTTTGAATTCAGTGCCTACACCTCGAGCCAATCACCAGCCCTTTTCTGTGAAGGGTTTTTCAAGATTGGGTCTTGCAAACTATTTGTCCGGGCTGACTTCTAATCACAATCCTCCTGATCTCTGCCTCCTGAGTGGCTAGGATTACAGGTGTGAGACCCTGGCATCCGACTTTTTTTAAAAAGTAAAAGATACACTGTTCCAGATGGTGGGGCCAGGGATGCTTGCCTAGTGTAAGAGCTTGGGTTCAACCAATGTCTCTAACACTTCAAGAAGACAAACCAAAAAACCCTGAAAAACTTGTCAGATGGTGACAAGTGGTATGGAGAAAAAATTAAGCAGGGAAGGATGGGAGTGCTGGGGGTGCAAGCTGCAACTTTAAAGATGGTGTTCAGGGCTTAGGGGAGTGACTCAAGCTTGAGGCCCTGGGTTCAAACCCCAGTACTGTCAAAAGATTTTTTTTTTTTTGGTTGAATAATGTAGTCAGAACCAGTATGATTATATCTGAGTAAAGGTTTGAAGAGGATGAAAGTTAGCATTTAAAGCAGAAGAAACAAGTTTAAGGGCTCTGAGTCAGGAAAGTACCAGAAAATTTCAGGAAAATCAAAGTAATCAGTGCATCTAGCATAGAGTGACCAAGGGGGACAGTAGTGTAAGGTCAGATCAACCACAAAAGGCCTTAAAGGAGATAATGAGGCCTTATTGGCTTTTCTTCTGAGTGAAATAAGATATTGGAGAACTTTGGGTAGAGGAGGATTGTTGTGATCTTTTATTATTTTACTATTATCATTACTATGATTAAAGATACATAACAAAATTTGCCATTTTAACTGTTTTTGGTTAAATGTGTATGAGCTGAACTAGTGAGCAGTTCAGCAACACTGCCTATACTAACACTGTTGTGCAGCCATCACCATCATCCTCCAGGACTCATTCATCATCCCAAACTGAAATTCTGTGCCTATTAAAGTCCCTAATGCCCCCCCTCCCCGGACCCTTCCTAGCCACCATTCTACTTTTTGTCTCTATGAATTGGACTATTCTAGATCCCTCATGTAAATGAAGTCAAACAAAATTTGTCCTTTTGTAAACTGGCTTATTTTACTTAGCATTATGTTTTCAAGGTTCGTCCATATTACATGTAGCATGTATCTGAATTTCTTTCATTTTTAAGGTTGAATAATAATACATTCTAAGTACATTTCATATTTTGTTTATCCATTCATTCATCAATGGACACTTAGATTGCATCCAACTTTTTTGGCTATTGTGAGTGCTGCTGCTATGAACATGGGTGTACAACTATCTGTTCAAGCCCCTGGTTCCAGTTCTTTCAGGTGTAAACCTGGAAATGGAATTGCTGCATCATACAATAATTCTGTTTGTTTGAGGAATCACCATACTGTTTTCCAAGAGCAGCTGAACCATTTTACATTCCCACCATTGTAGGTTTTTAAAAAGATAATTATTGGGAGGGGGTGGGGGCAGGGGGGAGAAATGAACCAAGCCTTATATGCACATATGAATAATAAAAGAAAAATGAAAAAAAAAAGATAATTATTAGTACAAATTAAAATTAGACTTAAGGAAGGTAGAGAGATACCAGAGACTTGCAATTAACTAGGTGAGAGATGGTGGTGGCTTGGATCTCCTTAGTGGCAATGGAAGTGATGAAAAATGACTAGATTCCTTGGGGTGTTTTGTTTTGTTTTGCTATGCTTTGCTTTGTTTTTTAAGGCAAAGGCAACTAGACTTACTGAGGGATTAGCTTTGGCATATAAAATAAAGTGATGAACCAAGGATAACTTCTAAGTTTTTGGCTTGAGCAACTAGAGGAATGAAGTCACCATTTACAGATGGGGGGAATGTTTTCAAGTGAATACACAGTTTGTTTGGGGACCTGTTCAAATTTAATAGGACTATTATACAACCAAATAGACATAATGAACCTGGTACTCAGAGAAGATGTTTGGATCACAGAGAAAATTGGACAGTTACCAGTATATAGATGACATTTAAAGTCATAAGACTTGAGATCACCTGAAGACTGATTGTAGATATACACGTGGAGGGGATCAAACACTGAGCTCTGAGACATTCAGCAACAAGAGAGCAAAGAACACTGAGAAGATGGGTAAGAGGTAGGAAGAAGTCAGGAGGGCATGGCATCCTGAAAGCTGGTGAAGAAGCCTTTGGGGGGAGAAGGAAGAGGTCACCTGGGTCATGTAAGATGCTGATGGGTCAAGAAAGATGAGAATTGAAAATAAGCCAATTGCTCTTAGGGATCTTAAAAATGTTATTTCAATGGCTTGTGAGGAGGTTAAAAACCCAACTGAAGGGAATTCAACAGAAATGAGAAAGAAGTGAGAGACAATTCAGTGAGAGACAATTCAATTTTCCTGTAGGTAAAGGGGAAAAGAGAAATAGTATGGTGTCAAGAGAGGGCTGGTTTTTAAACTGGGAGTGTTGGTGCACATCTATAATCCCAGCTCTTGTGAGGCTGAGGCAGCAGGATCTTGAGTTCCAGGCCAGCCTGGGCTACATAGCAAGACCCTGTCGAAAACGAACAACAAAAAACCCGTGTTTTTTTAAAAAAGTGTTTACTGTTTACTTGTTTTTAAGAGGGAGAAGTAACAATATGTTTGACAGGCAGGAATATCTCATTAAAGAAAAAACCAAATAGGGGGAGCAATGGGAGAATTTACTAGCGCTATGTCCTAAGGCAGACTATGGGATCAAGTGGAGGGGTTGACCTTAGGCAAGGCACATCCTTTGAAGGAGGCAAGGCAGATGGTGGTGCTGTGAATTTCCGAACCCCCAATTCAATGGAATTCAATCTCCCTCCTTCAAGCGGTGTCGGGTTTCTAGGAACCACATTCAGTTCGTGTTGTTTTGAGCTGGGCCCCCAGAGCTGTGATATGTGAATATCTGAATATGTGTCTGCCTCTCCAAAATCCTGGAGTCCTCCAACGGCTGCCTCAAAGACATCTTTTAATTTTCCTCCAAACTCTGGCCCAGAGTCCCGGCAGTCTGCGTATGTTGAATTAGCCAAGCCGCTACGCAGCTGGTTTCACAAAGGGGGGCGGTCCTAGCCCTGCGCTCCAGGATCCAGACGTTCGAGCCCGACCCCCTCCCTCTCTCCCTTCCTTCTCTCTACTCTCAATTCGTGGTCCAGCCAGCCAGAAGCACAAAGCTAGCCCACCGAGGCCACTGAGTCCACGTCAGGCGCTGCAGAGAAAGAGCCGAGGTTGGAGGGGGCGGGGCCTAGGGACGGAACTGAATAAGGATTGGGCCGAGAATTCAGAGGCGGGATTTAAAGGCGAACTCGGGACTGAGACTGGAAAGGGCTCGGGGAGGCGGGGCCTAATGATTGTGCAGGGTGGGGATTGGACTGAGGGCGGTGCCGGTTCGAGGACTGGACCGCGCGCTTCGGGGCGGTGCTTGAAGGGGCGGAGCCGTGTCGGAAGTCAAAGGTCGGTAAATAGTGGTGATGTCATGCGGGCAAGATGGCGGAAGGGTGAGCCCGTCGTTCCGCTCTCGGGCGTTGGGGCCTGAATTCTCCTAGGGTTGGGGTGCTGTGCCTGGGCGCCTGTGGGGAACAGGCGATGAGCCCGGGGACGGACGGAGCTGAGATGGCAGAGTGGAGCTGCAGTGTGTGGGGTGGGAAAGCGGCCGCCGAAACCTCGGCCTGCGGGCCACATCGGAAGGGGAAACTGAGAGCCGATCTTTGGGAGGGCAGGAGTCGCACCGCAGGTCCCCCAGATGTGTCTGTCTTCCACAGGGAGGACGTGGGGTGGTGGCGGAGTTGGCTTCAGCAGAGCTACCAGGCAGTCAAAGAGAAGGTAAGCCGGGCCAGCGCCCTTCTTCCCCTGGCCAGGCCTGCGCCGCCTTATTGCAATCTGGTCCCCCAGCCCTGCCCGACTTTTGCGGGCTCCTGGCCTCCCTGAGGCTAACCTGGGTCCTTCTTTTAGCCCTTATCTGCCTATGGGCCCTGACGCCGACCAGTGCCATAGTAGCCACAGTGAAATAATGATTTTTTTTTAGAAAGCTGAAACAACCCTTTCCTGGGAATCCATAGGAAAGAGCAAGTTATTCCTGCCCAGCTCTCTGGTGGAAAAGAGGACATTGGATATATAGGCCTTGAAGAAAAAAGATCTAGCAATGAAAAAACTTACTCCTATAGTCATTGGAGTATTAGAGTATATGCCAACCAGCACTCTTGACAGGTCCCGAGAACTTAGCCAAACAGATGCAGTCCTGGGCCTTACAGAACTCAGAATCTAGTGGGGAGAGAGTCGTCAACCAAATAGTCAAATAGCTGTTTAATTACTGTTGTGCTAAGTACTGTGAAAGGCAAGTAACAAATATCTTGTCTAGTCTCAGTAGTCAAGAACATGCCAGGGAAGGTGTTGAGGAGAAGGAACCCAATCCAGGCCAACCCGCCCCCAACAGGTGAAAAGCAAGAACCCAGACCAGAGATAAGCTCAGGCATACACAATGGTGCCTGATGAGTTCTGTCTGAGTGGTTTACAAAGTAGGGCAGAAAGATTGATAGCCAAGAGTGGAGACCCTTGAAGGCTTAAGCAATCCCTGTTCCACAAACCCTACTTGACCCTGCCAGTGGGCAGCGCCAGTGTTCAATAGTTTCTTTAAAACAGCCCAACTAAACTGTGGGAAAACTTAATTAGTATTTACCTCAAGCAGGTGGGGTGAGTCTTGCTTCAGGGAAGACTCCAGGAAGCTTCTGACCTCATTTAATTCAGCCCTCTACTCTGGGAGCATTTTTTTCCCTCCCTTGACATAGGTACTTCTGGGCAGCCTCTCAGCTATCACCCAGTAGTTGTGAAGGTTCCCTGATCTGTTTATGTTGTTGATGAGGACTTTACTCTAAAGTTTAATGTAAGAGACCCCAATGTAGCATGTTCCCTGTTTAGAGCAATTTCCTGGAAGGAAGGTGACATTCAGCAAGTGTTGGCATGAGAGCCTCCTGTGTGTTTCTCAAGGCTGATCTTACAATAACTCATGAAAAATGGGTAATTGGTCAGCCTTCCTTCTTTGTTCCTGGGGAATACCCAATTTAAAGCAAGGGGTGATGGGTGCTGTTTCTGCCTTTTTTGAAAGAGAAGACTTAATTTTCTCTTCTTTAGCTGTATGAATTTGGGCAAGTTATTTAAGTTCTCTAGGCCTCAGTTCCTCAACTGTAAGATAAAAATAATAACTCCTACCTAGTGGGATTGTTACTAGGATTAAATGATAACATACATAAAGAACTAAGAATAATGCCTACTACATTAAGTACTGTGTAAGTGTTAACTATTTTTATTAAGTGCTGAGGGTGATGGGGAAACTCTTAGGCATTAACACCAGCCCATTTTTCCTCCAGTTTTTCTCCTGGCCTTTTGATGTTTTCCTGGCCTTGCTTTCCATCCTGACTCTTGCTCCATCTGGGCCATTGGCTTCCCTACTCCTTTAACATTCATTGCCCCAAAGCTAACAACTCTGAGAGGCTGCCGTAATTTCCTTTCTCTGCTCCTTACCTCCTCCTATCACTTCCTCCTATGTATGTACACATGTTTCCTCAAATGCACATTGTTCTTTGTGTCCATCACAGATTGCTGAACCTCTTCTGGACTTGAGCACTCCCCAACAAACCTGTTCAGGCTCTAAATTTGCTTCTCCTCCCCTTCAGAAACTCTTACCTCAAGTCCCTGTTCAATAACTTTGTCCCTTTCATTTCCAGGAGACAACCTCATGTACTTTTTCTTTTTTTTTTTTTTTTTTTTTGGTGGGCCTGGGATTTGAACTGAGGGCTTCATGCTTGCAAAGCAGGTGCCTCTGCCACTTGAGCCACATCTCCAGTCCATTTTGCTCTGGTTATTTTTGGAGATGAGGTCTCACAAACTGTTTGCCTGGGCTGGCCTCAAACCTCAAGCCTCCTGATCTTAGCCTCCAAAGTAGGTAGGATTACAGGCATGAGACACTTGCACCGGGCTAACCTCACATACTGTTTGAAATTTGAGGTCAACAAGCGTAATCTTGCTTAACTCCCTCCCCACCCCTAAAGCCACCATCTATAAACTTATCTGTAGTCACACTCAGCTTCATCTTCCACTTGCCAAATTCCGTGGGTGGTTTTTGGCTCTTATCTTTCTGGACCTTTCTGCTGCATTTGACACTAGCGATCACTCTTTTTCCTTGAAACTCTACACTTTTGTGACATGATTCTCTCTTAATTCTCCACATACCTCTCCAGAATTTCATTTCCTAACTGATGATGACCTCCTTTTCCACTGCCTGACTCTTAAAGGTGGAGTTCTCTTGTCCTCAGTGCACTGTTATGTTCACTCTTCAGACTTCCTGAGTGAGCTCCTCCTCTTCATGTTAAAGTGACTCCTGGTTCTTTTACCTGAGTTTCAATGTTTGAGGATAGCTCCTATTGGATGACTGTCCTACATAGCTATCTATCCTAAATATCCTATGGTCACCTTGGATTCTGCATGCCCAAAGTCATCACAATCTTTTTTTTTTTTTTTTTTTTTTGGCAGGACTGGAGTTTGAACTCAGTTCCTCACACTTGCTAGGCAGGTGTTCTACTGCTTGAGACACATCCCCAGCCCCACAATCTTTTCTCTAAACCTGCTTCTCTTTCAATACTTTGTCTCTTAACTGGTAGCACTCCTAGTATTTCTTGAATCCATCACATCTTCCATCCTTAGAAGCACTATCCTTGTTCATATTCTTATTTTTCTTTTCAGTGTTATTGCAATAACCTCCTGGTTGGTCTTCTTCCCTCTTCTAATCTTGTCACTCTTGAACCATCCTCCATGCCAGTCACTAGAGTGACCTATTGAAAGTGAAAATCTCATCATGTCCCACCTGCTTCAAACTTTTGTCAACATCTCCAGCTTTATTTCTGCTTTGCATTTTATGTTCATCAGGACTAAAATGCTTATAGGCTTCAGTAAACCCCATGTCCAGACTTCCTTAGCCAAATCCTATTCATTCTACTTTTGTGGGGAGGGAGCAGTATTGGAGTTTAAACTCAGGACTTTGCTAGGCAGGTGCTGTGCTACTGGAGCCACACCCCCAAAACTTTTTGCTTTAGGAATTTTTCAAATAGGATCTCACTTTTATGCCAGGGCAGGCTTAGATAGTGATCCTTCTATTTTTGTTGCCCACAGAGCTGGGATGTGCACCACAATGTCCAGCTTTTTATTGGAGTTTGTGAAATTTTTTGCCCGGGCTGACCTCAAACTACAGTCCTCCTGATCTCCATCTCCAAGTAGCTAGGATTACAGGTGTGAACCACCAACCTTTGCTCCTATTCATTCTTTAGCACCCAGTTCAGTACTCCTTTCCCAACCTCCTCATAATATGCTAGTCATTACTCTGCCTTTGCACATCAGTTTATTATGTGAGCATTTTCCCCAATAGTCTGTGACCCTCTTGAGGGTCAACGCAATGTCTATTCATGTTTGGCTCCTAGAGCTCACAATCTAGTGGGGGAGACCCCCATTCATCAAATAGCCACGCAGATGGTTATATAGTTAAAATTGCCTTCTTACATGTACATTTAGCAAGCAATAGTTTTTGAGCATATATTATATACCAGGTCCTGTGTCAGATACCAGGGGAGCATCAGTGAGTAAAACACATGGATTTTGCAGTGAATCATGAAATTCACAGTTTATCCAGGAAGGCAGACACTGAACGAGTAAGATAGAGTGTGAATATGATAAATGAGATGAGCAGAGAGATAATCGGGGCAGGTGGCTGAGCCTGAGGAGGCATCAGAGAAGCTTCTCTAGGGAAGTGACATGGAAGCATAGACTTGAAGAATGAACAGGAGTCAACCAGGTGAAAGGGTTTATTCGTGTATCTGTTCACTTGTTGGTTCTGAGGAGTTAGAATTATGCTCTCAAGGAGAACAAATACTCTGTTCAGATTCCTTAAGGTAGAGAAGATGCTAGGGCATTGAGAAACTTGAGGAAGGGCAGTTGGAGCTCAGTATCAGGACCCAGTGGTGGAGGATGAGTCTACAGAGGCTAGATTTTAGAAGCCTTGTGAGTGAAGGTAAAGATATTATTCTTGATCTTAGGATAGTCTGTAAACATTGAAGAATGTGAAGCAGGGCAACTTGGTCTGCCCTGACCCACAAAGCACCCACTGGGTGTCATAAAGAGAGTGTAGTAGAGGTATCTGATCACAGCCGGGGAGGAGTCCCGATAAAGGAGCAGGTTGGCCTGGACTGAGGCATTGATGAACAGAGTGAAGTAATAAATTACCCCTCTAGCTCCACATCGGAGACTACATGATCATTAATAAATAACTAAGTTAATAAATAAACCTTCTGTCCCCAATTAAGGAGTCTGGAGTCTGATAGGAAGGCACGGTTCCTAACTCTTCCCCACTACCTTGCCCAGAGAAGCCTCTAGTTTATACATGACACTGTTCTACTCACAGACTTCTCAGGCTGATAAGAAGTAGGTAGGTCCTTCCCAGAAAAACAAACCATCAGAACACTCCTCAAAAACATGCTTTAAGCTGGGTGCCAGTGGCTCATGCCTGTAATCCTAGCTATTCAGGAGGCAGAGATCAGGAGGATCATGGTTCAAAGCCAACCCAGGCAAATAGTTCTCGAGACCCTATCTCAAAAAAGCCCTTCACAAAAAAGGGCTGGATGGAGTGGCCCAAGGTGTAGGCCCTGAGAGCAAACTCCCAATATTAACAAAAAAAAAAAAAGCTTTAGAAAGTACAGGTGGCCCTGGGAAAATAAGGCCAGATGTAGTGGTTTATTACTATAATCCCAGAATTGAGAAGGCTATGGTGGGAGGATCATAAATTCAAGGCTAGTCTGGGTTACATAGCGAGGCTCTGTCACAAAACAAAAAAAGTATAGGTGATTAATCCCATGTAAGATGAAATGGTCCAGGAAGCTGTCCTGGAGTTGGCGAGCATGATGTAAACAAGGCAAATGAGAAGGCAGCTGAGGCTGTCCTGGATCAAGGTGGCTCAGAGTACAGTGTGAGAAGCAGGTCGGCTCAACAGGAGCAGATGTCACTTAGCCCAGTGAACCTTCATGAATGAACAGAACCCTGGAGTGGTGGAGCCAAGAGGGCCACGGAGAGAATCTGCCCTTCCTTTGATGGAAAAAAAAAAAATCACTTATGTTGTCATATTATTTGAAATTTCAAAGAAATATGCATATCAAAGCAGACTCTCTGTGCCCCCCTTTCCCATTCTGCTTTTGAGAATCACTGACCTGGTCCACCTCCCATATTTTATAGGGAAAAAAACCCCAAAGACTAAAGGCTTACTATTGCCTGTGTAGTTTGTGAGCACCTAGGCTGAGTTTCCCTGCACTTTCTGCTGTCAGGAAATCCTGTATGGTGGAGTTGGGACAAGTGAGCATTGTTTTTGACCCCAAGATCCCACATCATTTGACATTTCCACATGGAATGTCATGTCATGGAATAAGAACAAATGTGATGGGGCTTGCCAGCTCTGTCATCTTTCTTTGTCTTCCCATAGTCTTCTGAAGCTTTGGAGTTCATGAAGCGGGACCTGACTGAGTTTACCCAGGTGGTACAGCATGACACAGCCTGCACCATTGCAGCCACGGCTAGTGTGGTCAAGGAGAAGCTGGCTGTGAGTACTGTCCATACCTTGAGTGACTGCCCATTACAGCCTGACCTGCTTTGGAATCCTAGTGGGCACTCCCAATCTTTCTCTGGTTAGGTGATAATTTTTTCCCTATTGGGGGAAAATACGGAGATTTTTCCTCTCATTTGGAAGGAATTTGTGTTAAGCAAACAACCTATATATATATGTACACATATATACATATAAATTATTAGTTTTTATCACATCTGTACTGTTTCAGCAAATGTTTTCCAGTAGTAAAGTCTTCATAGAAAATTTAGAAAGTACATATAAGTAAAAGAATGCATAAAAGAAAAGATAAGACTAACCTAGAGACACTGATAATTCCATCTCCCAGAGATAACTATTGATAACATTGGGGAGATGCATCCTATCCCCACGTACATTTTCTTTTTCAAAACAAATCATTTGAATACCATGGGGTTTTTTTAAGGTTTTTGTTATATACTAGGATTTTTGGTTTTTTTTTTTTTTTTGGTCTTGTCATGTAGTCCAAACTGGCCCTAAACTCATGATCCTCCTGCCTCTGCCTCCCAAGTGCCAGGATTACAGGCCTATACTACTATGCCTGGCAGTACTAGAGTTTGAACTCAGTGCCTTATGCTTGTTAAGCAGCACTCTACCATTTGAGCCACACCCCAGCCCTTTTTGCTCTAGTTATTGTTCTCACAGGGCCTTGTGTCTTTGCACAGAACCAGCCTTGGTCCGCAATCCCTCTACCTTTGTCTCCTGCATAGCCTTGGATTATAGGAGTGAACCACCATGCCCAGCTTCATACCATAATGTTTTTTAACTTACATTTTGACTTAATCATTCTACAGTGTTATAAATGGTGTGGCATTCCATTATGTGTATTTAACCAATTCCTAGTTTTCTATTTTACTTTTTCTAGTGTTGTATGCAGAATTGCAGTGAACATTCTGCTTGCCAAATTTTTGTCTGTTGCCAAAATATTTTCTTTATAATAAAATATTAGAGGGGGGAAGGGTGAGGGAGGAGGACAGGGTGGAGAAATGACCCAAACAATGTATGCACCTGTGAATAAATGAACAAAAGCATAAATAAACCCTTGGTGGCTTTAAAATAAATAAATAAACAAAAAATAAATAAATAACATTTTGGTTTATAAGGCATCAAGTAAAATATATATCTCATTTAAACACTAAAGAAATAAAATATTAGAAGGGGTCATAGGGGAGTACAGTTTTAGAACTTTGAATATCTGTTGCAAAACAGATACGAGAAAATATTCTTATGTACTTCAGTCATGTTTATTTTATGCTAGCTTATGTTTTCACTGGCCCTATTTTTGTTAATCAAAGATCTACAGTAGAATCTTCTGGTTAGATAGGAATTAGATTTAAAGGCAGTGCAAAAGGTGAAAATTGTGAATCATTAGAGATGTCCCTGCACATTTAAGTTTTCAGTGAAGTACAGTATGCTGGTTTTATTTTGTTTCATTTTTGCAGTACTGGGGTTTGAACTCAGGGCCTTCACCTTGAGCCACTCCACCAGCCCTTTTTTGTAATGGGTTTTTTTGAGATATGGTCTTGAGAACTATTTGCCCAGGCTGGCTTCGAACCTTGATCCTCCTGATCTCTGTCTCCTGAGTAGCTAGGATTATAAGCATGAGCCACTGGCACCCAGCTCAAGTATGCTGGTCTTTGTATTACGATTTTTCTGTGAACACTGGAACAGATTGTTATTTCTTCATTTGGTCACCAGTTCAGTCAGTCACCTTGAGATTTTTCATGTTATGAAAAACAAGTTAGTGGGCTTTTTTTTTTTTTGGTGGTACTGGGGTTTGAATTTGGCCTCACGTTTGCTGGGTAGGCACTCTACTACATGAGCCACATCCCCAACCCCTTTTGCTATTATTCAGGTAGGGTCTTGCATTTGTTCCCCAGTCCAGCCTGGACCACTGTCTTCCTATTTACCTTATGAAGCTGGGGTAACATGTGTCACCACACCCAGCGTTATTGGTTGAGATGGGATCTCACCATCTTTTTGCTAGGACTGGCCTTGAACTCTTTTCCTGCAGATCTCCATTTCCCAAGTAGATGGGATTACAGGCAGGAAATATGGTGCCTAGCCTAAAAAACAAGTTTTGAGGTAGGTGTGTGGTGAGTGTCTATAATTGCAACTACTCAGGATTCTGAGGCAAATCTCTTGAGCCTAGGAGTTCAGGACCAGCCTGGGCAACAAAATGAGGCTCCATCTCAAAAAAAAAAAAAAAAGAAAAAGAAAAAAGGGAGGGGAGAAGGAAAAAAGACAGGAGGGTGAGAAGGAAGAAAACAAGTTTGGGGGTTTCTTAGCCAAACTTATTTTATTGAATTCTTTTAAAATACTGTCTGTCTGCTAACCACAATTACTGATAAGCATGAATGACAGACCTTGCTGAACACTATGAGTTAGCCAGTACCAGACACCACTATTTATTTCACTCATTTATCCCTTTTTTTCATTCAGCAAATGATTGTACACCCATGTCCAGGCACTATGATAGGTTTTAGGTTGAAAATGCCTGGGAAGCTGGGTTCCAGCAGCTCATGCCTGTAATTCAAACTACTTGGGAGGCTGAAATCAGGAGGATTGTGGTTCAAGGCCAGCCCAGGCAAATCGTTTATGAGATCCCATCTCCAAAATAACCAGAGCAAAAGGGCCTGGAGGTGTGGCTAAAGTGATAGAGTGCCTGCTTTGCAAATGCAAAGCCCTAAGTTAAAACCCCAGTCCCACCCAAAAAAAAAAAAAAAAAAAAAAAAAATTTGCTGACCATGGTGGTACATGCCTGTATTCCCAAACACTTGTAAGTCTGAAGCTGAAGAGTTACAAGTTCAAGGCCAGTCTAGGCTACATAGCAAGTTCCAGGCCAGCTTCAGTTCCCCATCCCTGCCTACTGGAGGGCATGCTGACCAATCTGGCTAAAGCTTGGTGCCCCAGTACGCTGGTCCCAGGACCCAGGCATGATAAGACTACCTGTTCTTGTTCAAATTTCCCCAACATTTAAACAAAATATCCTACTTCCTGAGCAATAATTATGGGGAAATTACATTCCAATGCTGCTATTTATTGTTTGCCTTGTACCAGGCACTGTCCATGCCTTATTTAGCTGCATTTGACAAATAAGGACAGTGAAACTCAAAGAGGGTTTAGGTCTTGTAATAAACAAGTATTAGAGTACCTTCACCATTCTACTCACAGGCCCTCTTCCCTGCTGAAATGGCATGGATCCTCTCTTACCAATTTTTATAAGCCTAATTGGCCTTAATATTTCAATGAAATAGCCAGTCAAGAATCTCTGCTCCGATTTACACAGGCCTACCTTGGCCCTGTTCTGCATCCCCAGCTGGGAGTGGAGGACTTTGACTGCCTCTTCCTTCTCCAGCCCTGGAAATGTAGTGAAGGGCTATGAGCACGCTTATGTCCTCACACATAGTACCCCTTTGCCCTCCTGATACTTCATCCCCCAGACCCCTGATTGCAGCCTGCTCCTAGGATAATTGCTTCCTCTATTGGTTCTCTCTGCAGACTGAAGGCTCCTCTGGGGCAACAGAAAAAATGAAGAAGGGGTTGTCTGACTTCCTAGGGGTGATTTCAGACACCTTTGCTCCCTCACCGGACAAAACCATCGATTGCGATGTCATCACCCTGATGGGTACTCCCTCTGGCACAGCTGAGCCTTACGATGGCACCAAGGTAGTTCACTGGCAGCTTCCCATATTGATGCCAGGCTTTAACTTCCAAGCACTATTCACAAAAGCAAGACATGCTCAGACCAAAAAGTAAACATGTGTATAACTAAGTTGGAGAACACCAATAAGGATAATTACAGTATTTCTAAGACCATAATTCCATCATCCAGAAAGAAGCCTGATTTCTTGTTAGTATATAACCTTCCATTTCTCTTTTGTTTACAAACATAAGATAGTTTGGGATTTTTTTTTCTTTTTAACAAATAAGCACTTCATACATGCAATTTTGTTGCCTGCTTTTTTTTAAAAAGAAAAAGTACAACAAATTATTAGCATTTTTTTAACCACCACTTTAATGTCTTTAAAGTCCTACAATGAATTCGTTCAGTATGGCACAACTGGGTTTCTTTCAGCTTTTAACCGTAATGGCAGTGTGGAGAGTGTCTTGGGGGGCATAATTTTCTCCATGTGAGTTATTTAAGACTAACCACTAGGAAAAAATGTACCAGGAGAGAGGGTGTCTTCAGAGCACTTAGACCAACAACTATGGCAGTATATTTGTGTTACATCTTATTTTCTCATCATTAAGTCTATTTCATGATCTGAATTTCTCCTGTTCTCCTGAGTTTACAGTGTGGTGTCATGGCATTTGGGCCTTCATGATACTGAATTTCTATTACACATTGCTGATTTTTCAAGCATGTTTTTCAGTATTAGCATAAGTGACATCACTTAGTGAACATGTGAGTTCTGAAAGTTATTAAATATAAGATTGTAAGTTAAAAACAAAAAGTTATCACCAAAACCAATTGCTGAAGTTCTGTTGCAGACAGCCACATGCTTCATGTAATGCTGAGGAAGGAAGGGGGCTTTCTGTTTATCAACTGAAGTTTGTAGCCCTATTTGGGGGCACATTTTATAGTACACTTGCCAGATTGGCTCTAAAATTAAGAAATTCTTTCCTTTATTTTGGTAGTGGTGTGTATCAAACCCCTGGCTTTGTGCATGTTAAGCAAATAATCTACTGAACTATACCTCCAGCCAAAGAAATTCTTAATGGTTTCAATTTGGGTATAGTTGCATTATTTCATAGTTTGTCCCTATAGACTTTATTAATATAACTGTATTTGACGTTTTTCATATTTCACATGCTTCAGAAGCATTTTATACATATAATTTTATAGCCTGCTTAATTGTATTATCTTAATTCCCAGGGGTGGAATACTAGGTGAAAGACCATTTTTCTGGTAACCCCAGTTTTTGGGTAGCCCAGTGCTACAGTGTTCATTAACAAGTACCCTGTGAGTTTGTTTTCCAACAGGGAAGAAACTGGGTTGTGGTTAATTGGGTACCCTACAGAGTAGGGGTGCTCTCCATAACTACCTCCTCAGAATTTCTGTTCTCTGTTGCTGACAGGCTCGCCTCTACACTCTACAGTCAGATCCGGCAACCTACTGCAATGAACCTGATGGTGAGGGAATAGCAGTGGGGGGACTTGTGGGGCAGGTACACCAAGAGGGATAGATTGTGGGTCCTCTTTGTCTCAAGTAGCATAGGCCAAGTCCCCCTACCAGAGCTGGACCTGTGTATGTGTACCTTACGCCCTATGGGGTGGATTAATGATCCCTTTCCTACCTGAACCCCAGCTGTCTTCACTCTAGCTCTGAACTCTGCAGAGACTTTGCTTCTCTGGTTCCTCCTTTCTGCTCAGCCTGTCTCTCAGCCCTGCTGCTTTGCCTGCCTTCCCTTTGGCTCCTGTTCACTAAGCCCCTGTTGCTTAAACTCCAGTGCTGCCCCCTCCAAAAAAAAGGAAGGTCAGGGCTCATTACAAAGTCAACACCCACTGTCTACTTGCCCAGCCCTGGGAGCCATGACTCTGCCTTCTCCCTCTGTGGAGTTACCTATTCTGGACATTTTTTCATGTAAATGGGGTCCTACCACATAAAGTGCCAGGCACCAGTTGCTCATACCCGTAATCCTATCTACTCAGGAGGCAGAGATCAGGAGGATCACGGTTCGAAGCTAGCCCCAGGCAAATAGTTCTGCAGTACCCTATTTAGGAAATACCCATCACAAAAAAGGGCTGGAGGAGTGGCTCATGGCATAGGCCCTGAGTTCAAATCCCAGTACTGGAAAAAAAATTGTCGAGTGACTGCTTCTGCAAAACGATGGGTATTTGGACCAAACGCAGCGTGGAGCTTAGGAAGTAACACTTGAATTCAGGCTTTTTTCTTGGGTTTTTTTTTTTTTTTTTTGGTGGCACTAGGATTTGTACTCAGAGTTTCACGCTTACAAAGTAAGCGTTCTGCCACTTGAGCCATACCTCCAGTCCTTGAATTAAAGTTTTAAGAGTGAATTAGAAGTAAACTAGTTTTATTTTTAGAAGTAGAGAAGGGTATTCAGGCAAAGGGAACAGTATGCTTGAATAGGGAGTCCCTAGCTTTTTGGTGACCCTGGATTAGAGTATACATGAGGTAATGAAAGCAACCAGAGTGCTATGGAAGCCAGGATGGAGGTGGCTTTGTGTGCGAAGTAAGAAGCTTGAATTTGGTCCTAAAAGACTTACAGTAGTGGGTCTAGACCTTTTGTTAGTCACAAAGTCCTTAAAAAATCTATTAAAAATTACAAACCCTCTCTCTACAAAATTTTGTGTGCAATGTAGGAATTCTTTGACCCTTTGAAGATCATCTGTGGACTTTAGCTTAAAAATTCCTCTTGTAGAGAACAACTTTTGGAGGGTTTTTTTGGTTTTGTTTTGTTTTATGACGGTTTGAACTCAGGGCTTCATGCTTACTAGGCAGGCACTCTACCCCTTGTGTCACACCTCCATCTCCAGCCCTGTTGTAAGGTTTTAAGGCCTGAGGTGATGAGGTTTTGCATTTTGTAAAGCAGCCCTTGAGGCCGTGTTATAAAGGATGAAATAGAGACAGAAGACAGGAAGCTGAGGTAGGAAGCTTGGTAAAAATTCCCATGTCAGAGGTAAGGCCAGAGTGTAGGAAAAGGCTGTTGGAATGGAGAGGAAGGTGTGCATGTAGGGACACTAAAGAAGTGGAATTAGAGCAAGTGAGGAGAGGAGTCTAGGATGATCCTTCAGCGTCTGATGGATAACTGTGGGAAGAAAAATGAGCACATGTGTTTGCAACTGGATCTGGAGCCCAGAAAGATAGCCTGGGTTACAAAGAGAGTCAGTGGGAGGAAAAAGTTGAAATTCATGGTTTAGTGATTATCTTGAGAGAAAATAAAAAGTGAGAAGAGATAAGGAAAGGAAAAGAAAATGAGCCCGTGAAGACTCAGAGCAACCAGAAAAGTGGGAGGAAAAAAACAAAAAAATGAGAAGCCAGAGAGAAGAGAGCTTCCAGAGGAAGGCAGTAGCTCCTAGTCAGAAATGGTAGCACAATTACATGAGGGAGGACAGAGAAGTGGCTATTGACTCTGGCAACACAGGTCTACTGGTGACTTAGAACAGCTGTTTCAGAGAGGGGAGGTCATTGTCCAGTGCAGTGGACTAAAATGCCATCAGGATGTAAGAAAATGGGAACTACAGCCTTTTCTGGAGATCACTTAGTGTCATACCCTCATCCTAGTAGGGCCCACCTACCTCTTCACCCTGCCTAATCAACCACCTTGGACCAAATGAAAAAAAAAAACCCTTGTGCTTTCCTTGTTGTCCAAATCCAGGCTTAAGTATGTCTGTAGGTCATGTTCTTTCTCCAGACCCAGGGAACTGACTATCAGCGTCTTTCCCTCTGCAGGACCCCCGGAATTGTTTGACGCCTGGCTTTCCCAGTTCTGCTTGGAGGAGAAGAAGGGGGAGATCTCAGAGCTCCTTGTAGGCAGCCCCTCCATCAGGGCCCTCTACACCAAGATGGTGAGGGCCCAGCCAGCAGGACCTCAACTGGTTCCAGGCTTGGGTTGGGATGTGGGAGGGACATGTGCAGTAGAAAACCCTGTAGAGTAAGACCAGCTATGTCTTGAGCCAAGAATCTGCATGGAAGAGGCTGATTTGACAGGCATCTGGCACTCGGTGAATGGTGAGAAATGGAAGGGCGAGCAAAGCCTGATGGGAATTCTTTTTTCCTTTCTTGGCCAAGCTGGGGCAGGAAAATGGGTCCAGCTGAAACTGAGGTACAGTGGAAGGGCTTTGGCAATTCCTGCAAAGCCACTTCCTATATCTGAAATCCAGAGCACGTGGGAGTAGACTGATAAGGGTGGGTACACAGAGCCCATACATACACTTCCAAATTGTCACTTCCTCTTTCCCTTTCCTCTAGGTTCCAGCAGCTGTTTCCCATTCAGAATTCTGGCATCGCTATTTCTATAAAGTCTACCAACTGGAGCAGGTATGCTGGACTAGCTTGGGGAGGTACCTACTCAGCCCTGGGGGAAGCAGGCTGAATTTTGTAGAGGCAAGAAAGGAGACAGGGTGCCAAGCTTTCTGGGGTCAGTAGCAGTACTGGGAAGAGAGTACCCTTACTGCTGGCCATTCCTCTTTCACCCTCAGGAGCAGGCACGGAGGGATGCCCTGAAGCAACGGGCAGAACAGAGCATCTGTGAAGAGCCTGGCTGGGAGGAAGAAGAAGGTAAGGTGTCCAGATGTGTTCGGCAAGCAAAAGGTCTGTTTGTGGGACACTCAGGAGGCCTGGAGAGACCCAGAGAATGGGTAGGGAATGGGCATAGTGTATGTTCTGAGCATAGGTAGAAGTAACAAGGGGATGTCAAACAAGGGTGGTGGAACCCTGAGCTTAGGTTCAGAAATCATGTGTGTCTGTTGGAACAAATTGCTCTGCTAGCCATAGACCAGCTGCTTCATGGTCACTGGGGAGCACATTGAAAATCCAGATTCCCTTCCCCACCTCTTAGATAAGACTGTAGGATTTTGGCCCAATTAATAAGCTCTCCTGGTACTACTAAGAGCCAGTCAGGTTTGGGAACCACTGGGTTAGGGAGGGAGCTAAGCATCCTCTACCTGGTAATTCAGCCTAGGCCAGCATGTTAGAACTACTCTGATGAGATATTTGCTTTTATTAAGTGCTTATAATATATGTTCAGCCTGTGCTACGAGCTTTTCATGTGTAGTCCTTAGCACAGCTCCATTATCCCTGTACTGAAGTTAAAAGTGAAGTGGCTTGCCTATTCATACTTCTAGGATATAGCAGGGCCTGACCTGAGCCCAAAACCAACCCACTTTCAAGCCTTGGCCTTCTAATCTCTTACACTATCTTGGGCAGTATTGTTACCAGCCTAACATGGTCCCATGGGTAGGAAGGACTTTGACTAGCCAGGGAGTATCTACAGAAGAACTGCGTTGGAGTGGATGAGGGAAAAGGTCCTAGTCTTCATTGGGATTAAGCTGGGTAGGATCTGACAGTTCCATGGTTGCCTTGTGCTGGCTAGGTACACTGCCCTCTTTTTTGTACCTTTATTTCTACAGAGGAATTCATGGGCATTTCACCATCTCCCAAAGAGGCAAAGGTTCCTGTGGCCACAACTTCAACATCCCCTGAAGTAATACCTGGTCCCCAGAGCCCCTGTGAAGAGACTGCAGTGACTTCTATGGAGCCTCCCACAGAGGTGACTCCGTCTGAGAGCAGTGAGAGCATATCCCTCGTGACACAGATTGCCAACCCTGCCACTGCATCTGAGGCACCAGTGCTGCCCAGAGACCTGTCTCAAAAGCTGCTTGAGGCATCTTTGGAGGAACAGAGCCTGACTATGGATGAGGGCGAGACTGGACCCCCACCACCAGTTCCCTCTAAGCCCCTAACCCCTGCTGGCCGCACCAGTGGTCCAGAGCCCAGGCCTCCAGCCAGAGTAGAGACTCTGAGAGAGGAGGTGCCTACAGACTTACGTGTGTTCGAGCTGAATTCAGACAGTGGGAAGTCTACACCCTCCAACAATGGCAAAAAAGGTAGGTCTGGAGGTTCAGGGGATTGTGTTGACAGGGCAAGTGAGAGTTGCTACCTTATAAGGCAGATATGTCTCCTTGTGCCTTGTCACCATTCTAGGAGCAATTTCCTTCATTTGTGATACTGATGAGGAAGACAGCTGCTATATATCGAGTGTTTATTACTGTATTTCATCAAGTCTAGCATACACATGGTCTGTGAAAGGAGGATGCATCTTACAGTTGTTGAGATCTTAAAGTCAACGAAGTGGCCAGGTGCCAGTGGCTCACACCTGTAATCCTAGCTACTCAGGAGGCAGATGATCAGGAGGATTGAGGTTCAAAGCAAGCCTGGGTAAAAAATAGTTCACAAGACCTTATCTTGAAAAAAACCTATCACAAAAAAGGGCTGATGGAATGGCTCAGGGTATAGGCTCTGAATTCAAACCCCTATACTGAAAAAAAAAAAAAAGTCAACGAAGTAAAGTTTTGCTAGGCTCTGGGTTAAATATTTTTCACTTTCATCTCACAACCCAGTGAGAATGGTATTATTGTCTTCATTTTATAGATGAAGAAAGTAAGACTGAGAAATATTAAGTAACTTGCTCAAATTCACCTGATGGCAAGCCTAGAATCAGACCCAAGTCTATCTGATCCAACAGCCATTCCTGTAACTAGTACACAGTGCTGATTTCTGTCCTCTGGGGCAGTTCAGCCTTTTCCTGGGTTGAGAATGCTGTGATGTTGATGTCAGGGGTCTTCTGCCCTCTGGAACCTTGGGAAAATCAGTTTCAGTGTCCCTAAGTCTTCATTATTACTAAGCAATATGTATATAAAACTCACACAGTTTAAAAAAGAATGAAACGAGTGCCTATGAACTTAGGTGATACAGCTTCAGTAATACAGCTGTAGTTTATCTGTGTAATGGAGTTTTAGACTGGGGACTCCGAGTTTATGTCAAAGAGCAACTTCTTTAAATCCAGAAATTAAAGAACAAAGATAGACCTAAGGTCAGCTTTTTTTTGGTGGTATGGGGGTTTGAATTCAGTGCTAGGAAGGTGCTCTACCACTTGAGCCACAGCCACAGCCCCAATATCAGTTCCTTTGTCACTTTTAAAACCCCTCTCCAGAAACTGCCAGTTGTTAGCAAGACCACCCTTCCCCCCTTGGTACACATGCTACTGTTGTTGCCAACACTTAGTACCAATCACAGCCGTAAAACTTGTCCAGCAAGTGAGGCCTGGCCTGCTGCACGTAAACAACTGGTTTGCTGCAGTGGATGGGAATTGGGCCCACTTCAGTCCTTCCCTGCTCCCTGATGAAAACTTCAGGATATCTAGTTTCTTAACATGGTGCTTTCCTTCTGCCTGGTTCAGTGAGGTCATCCATTGAGCTCCTCCTACCTGCTCTTTATGAGACACTGAGGGGGGAGGGGCAGAAACGGCAGTCTTTGTGATGAAGTATGAAGTAGTATGGGACAGGCTTGATACTGGAGGTGTTCAGAGAAAGAAGGAATATGAGCACCAGTGGTGTTTCACCGAGGAGACAGGCATTGTATAGGAGAGGTGGAGAGTTGGGGCAGGTGCTGGGAGTGGTAGTCCAGGCTGAGGGGGTATGTTTAAGGGGTGGTGACCAATACCCCCTTTTCTATATTGTCTCCTGGGAAAGGGAGGTACAGGAAGGCTGGGCAGGCTGCTTCTTAAATAGAGCTTAAGAACTTAACGTCATAAGCTGGAATCAAAATTTTTTACTGATGCCATAAAGCAGCAGACCACAAGAGGCTAAGGGCTCAGGGTCTGGGGATCATAGTTCTGGGTTCAAATCCCAACTTTTCTCACAAGCCAGTGATTTCAGAAAAGTGATTGAGCTTCTTTAAGCCTCTGTTTACTATGCTATAAATTGAAGTTAATTGTTTTGTAATAAACCTCAATCAGGAAAGAAATTTAGGTAGAGCTCTGCTTTGGAGAAATGATGGCAGTAATAATAGGCAACATTCTTTGAGCATTTTCTGTGTGTTTAGACCTATGCTAAGCACTGGATATGTGTATCATTCACCCTTCACAAAAGCCCTCACATCTGTGCAGTTCCTCCTGCTTTTTTTTGGAAAAGGAACTAAGATCATTCACCCTGAGATCACTAAAATATTTAGAAGAGTGTGATAGTCCTGTAGGAGAGTGGAATAATACATCATGGGCCTGAAAGGTACAGTAAAGTTACTGAGTGAGTGGCACCAGGGCCCCTTTGAGATGGTGGAAAGGATTTTAAGTGAAACCAGTCAGCCCTGTTGTACTTTTTTGTTTGTTTTTTGAGACAGGGTCTCACTGTGTAACCCAGGCTGGCTTCAGATTCCCAATTCTCCTGCCTCTGCCTCCCAAGTGCTAGGATTACAGGCATGTACCACCATGCCCAGCAGCCCTGTTGTACTTTTATCCAACCACATTCAGTAGGCACAGAGCAGATGGGAAGTTGGATTTAACTAGAGCTCAGGTTTAGCTGGGTAAAATCAATAGAGGAAAAGGAAAACGTCCCAAGTATATGTAAGAAGTGATCAGAATGATGGCTCGTGGAATTTTAGCTGGGTAGGAGAGGGAACAAAGGATAGTGAAACAGAAGGTTAAAGAATTATAGGTATTTGGAACTGGGCTGCAAAGAAGGGTGATCAGAAAAAATTAGTAACAGTTGGAAATAGGATGAAATTATAGGGGAGATGCAACAAAAGCTCTCAACCACTCTGTTATGCTACCTCTCATGCACTTGGACCATGCAAAAAGAAGAGTTGATGCAGAACCACCCCCAAATCAACTGTAGTTAGATGGGGGAAGCTAGGGTCTTGGACTAGGCTGGACAATACAAATATAGTAGAGGGAGGAAATTTTTTTTTTTCCCCTGTGTTCTTGTGGTTTGGGGAGTTTTTTGTGGTCCTGGGGCTCAAACACAGATTCTCATGAATGCTAGGCAAGCACTCTACCACTGAGTCACCCCCCAACCCTGGAAGGAAATCTTAAAGGGAGTAATGGTGCCACTTGTGGTACATACTTATAATCCCAGCACTCCAAAGGCAGAGGCAGGGGGATCAGGAGTTTGAGACTAGCTTGGGCTACAGAATAAGATCCAGGCCAGCCTAAGATATATAGTGAGACCCTGTCTCAAAAAAATAAGTTCTGTGGTGTAGCTCAGGGATAGAGTGCTTGCCTATCGCTGCAAGGTCCTGGGTTTGATCTCCAATGTGGCAAAAGGGGAAAAAAAAAAGCAGAGGTTTGGAGACAGTGACTTCTTTTTCCTCTTGTACCTACCTCTTAGGATGACATGAGTCTTGGTCTCTGGGTAGTGCAGCAGAGTCTCTTGGGGTGGCCTAGCATAGGGTCTCCCAGAGTGATACCTGTCATTGCAGACTTGCTCCCACCTGCATTTTGTCCCAGGACTTATCTGCTTAGTAGGGGAGGGGAGGTTGGGGCAGGCCTGTCACCTGTAGCTCTGGGTTGAAGGTCCTACTTCACCATTGACTATAGAACCTGGGAGCTGTTTTTGTCTTCATTTATCTTAGGAAGCAGAGAGCCAGTTATACAGAATCAAATGAACTGTGACCGCACTTTGAGGTTAGTAATAACCTGAAAACAGAAACAAACAGCAAACTCCATCAATGAAGTCTTAAGTTAAGTAGATCAGGTCTGTGCCACGTGCACAGTGTAATGGAGAGCTTAGCAATCTCCTCATGTGACAGTACGAGATGGTGGGAGGAGGCCTATGGCAGAACACCCAGACTCCCATCTGACTCTGCTGTTGAAGTCTTCATTCTGGCATGTGTAAATTGGGACTGATGATAACTAGCCCAGAGGAGCATGTGAAATGCTCCAGAAATGTTTGCTGATACTCTTGCACTGCTGGGAAGGTCTACCCTAGCATTTAAGCCTAGAGAAGAGGGAGTTTCAAGTCCCAGAGACTAGGAAAAATGTCATGGTCACAGCCACAGCTCTTAAGTGAGCTTTTGACCTACAAGAAGCTGCACTGACGTATGAGTGCCACCCAAGGCTCCTGACAGTACAGGGAGATTTAGATTCAGGGGTCAGTACTAGTCTTGGATGCAGATCTGCCCTGACTTGCCATGGGACCATGCACAAAATTACTTAGCTCTGAGACAGAGCTAAGTAGTTAGGCCTCTGAGACAGGGCCTTTAGAAGAAGTATGGTCCATTTGTTAAACAGCAATTATGTGCATACATAACTGGCACTTGACATTCATACCTCTAATTCTAATGCCATTGTTTCTCAGGTCTCCACAGAATCACACAGGTACCTGGGCCACTACCTAGACTTGCTGAATCTCAGTGGAGGCCAGGGAAAGGGGAAGTTAGAAATGTGCATTCTAATAAGCTTCTCCCATGTTTTTTGCAAAGAAGGTTCTTTTATCATTTTATAGACTGAAACCCAAAGTCATTTGCCCAAGACCGCACAGTAGATAGAAGAGCAATATTCTGCCTGGCTCTGTGACTACACCACTTGTGGAGAGGAAGAGGGAACAGAGCATTCTGAGCAGAATGTGGAGCAGGGCAGCTATTTGTATAGTTTGCTTCTGCTTTTTTTTTTGGGGGGGGTGGGAGTGAGGACTGGAGTTTGAATTCAGGACTTTGAGCTTGCAAAGCAGGTACTCTACCACTTGAGCCACACCTCCAGTTCATTTTGCTCTAGTTATTTTGGAGATGGGGGTCTCACAAACTATTTGCTGTGGCTGGCTTCAAACTTCCATCCTTCCAATCGCAGCCTCCCAAATAGCTAGGATTACAGGTGTGAACCATCGGCATCTAGCTTACCACTGATAACTTTCACATGTATGTTTTTAATATGCCTATAAAAATCATGCCCAGAGGCAGAGATTGGGAAAATTGTTGTTTGAGACCTGCCTATCTCAACAAACCAGGAGTAGGGACAAACATCTGTAATCGCAGCTATGAGAGGTAGAAGTAGGAGAATTATGGTCCAAGATAAAAACATAAGACCCTAAAGCAAAAAAAAAAAAAAAAAAAAGTGGTAAAGCACCTGCTAAAAGAGCATAAAGTCCTAAATTCTAGCCCTAGTACTGTCAAAAAAGATAAAAAAGCAACACAGCAATTTGCAAAATTGCTTTTATAAGGTAGACCGTCAAGTCACACAAGTCCATCTTTACCCATCCTATAGCTCTGTTTGGCTTTTGAAAACTTTTTTTTTTTTTGGTGATACGGGGGTTTGAACTCAGGGGCTAATGCTTGCTAGGCAGGTGCTCTACAACATAAGCCACTCTGCCAGTCCTTGAAAACTTTTCTGTCTTACTGTTAGGTTTTAAGTATCATTATAAAAAAGAATAGAAAAATATCCTAAGTAAAGGATAAAAATTTTTAACAAAGTGGTTGGGGATTTAGCTTAGTGGAAGAGGGAGGCTAGCTTTGCAAGCATAAGGCCCTGAGGTTAGTCCCTAGCACCAGGAGGAGGGAAAAAAAGTCATACCCAAGTAGAAATGTTTTCGGCAGTGATGGTCACATTGTAGTTGGCAACATCAGAATCACCTAAAGCAGGAAATGGCAAACTTTGTTTAGGGCCAGATCATAAATACTGTAGATTTCTTTGGCCATATAGTCTGTTGAAACTACTGAGCTCCACCATTAATGCATGAGAGCAGCCACAGATGGCATGTAAACAAATGAGCATGGCTGTGTTTCAAAATTTTGTTACCACAAACAGGCAGTAGGCTGGATTTGATCCATGGGTCATAGTTTGCCAACTGCTGGTATAAAGGGTCCATGAATATTCATTGGGTGCCAACTACCTATTATAGGTACTAAGAATGCATAAGAAAACAAAGTTCCTGCCTTCACAGAGCTCACATTGTAGTCCCTCTATTATTAGACAATAAGCATAGTAAGTCTTACTGCATTATCGGTTAAAAAGTAATACATAAAATGGAAAAAAGAACAACTGGAAAGGTTGTTCTGGAAGTTCTTTCCAGACTGGAAAGGTTATAATTTTTTTCCCCCGTTTGGTGGGACTGGAATTTGAACTCAGGGCTTAGTGCCTGCAAAGCTGAGCTCTTTTGCTTTTACCAGTCCATTTTGCTCTGGTTATTTTGGAGATGGGGGGGTCTCACAATTTTCCTGGGTTGCCCTTCCTCCCAAGTAGCTAGGATTACAGGTGTAAGCTATCTGCGCCCGACCAAAGGGTTACAATTTAAAATAGGCTGCCCAGGGTAGGTCACATGAAGGTAAGATCTGAGAAAAGACGTGAAGTGAGTGGGGGGGAGTTGGCCCAAGAGATAACTGAGGAGGAGAGTTCATAGTACAGGGAACAGCCACGAAAAGGCCCTAAGTGGAAATGTGCCTGGAGTATGTCATGGAGAGCCAGATCAGTTAGGTAAAATGGAGGGTGAAGAGGAAGAGGCTCATGTTTTTTCTGGTAAATTCCTGTGACTCCCTGGGAGCCTCTGGGCCAAAGTGCTCCTCCACTCTTTAGCAACCTGCTTTTTCTTCCTTAACAATTTGAGAATATTTTACTGTGAATGTTTTTCCACAGCATAACCTTTAAAAGCCACGTTATATTCAATCATCATGTAACTGCACCATCTAGTTTTCTAATTCCCCATCAGTGGACATTCATGTTGATTCTGAGTTTTCTTCACTATGACACAGCCCTACAGTGAACATCCTTTTGGCTAATTTCTTTACTGAATCCAGGATTTTTCCTTAAAGTCCTAAAAGTGAGATTACTGAGCCAGAGTAAAAGTAGATTATAAAGAGTTGTTTTGTGTATTGTCAGCCCTGTTGTATCTTTGCCATCACCTCCAGCTAAACCTCTTTAGGTATCCCCTTCCTGTCCCATTGCTTTTTACACTGTGACTCGTGGTTCCAGGCTCAAGCACAGACATCAGTGAAGACTGGGAGAAGGATTTTGACTTGGACATGACCGAAGAAGAAGTGCAGATGGCACTTTCCAAAGTAGATGCCTCTGCTGAGGTGAGTGAGCCTGATCAGCCACAGACAAGTCAGCCCAGTGATGCCAGGATATGAGACCTTCCCATAAAGCCCAGCTGTCCCCTCAGAATGGTTCTCTGCACCTAACTGAGGTGGCAGGCTGTAGGAAGGGAGGTGAGGCTTCCCACTCAGGCCCAGAACAGTAGGCAGGTTCTGCTTCTTGTCAGTTGTAGGGTAGATGTATGGAAGAGTTCTTGGCCTTAGCTCTGTATCACATTCATGCAAGGACTACTTAAAAATATAGATGGTTAGCAGGGCGTAGTGGTACATACCGGTAATCCCAGTGTTTGGGAGGCGGAAGCAGAAGCACCATGAGTTCAAGGCCTGGGCTATGTAGCAAGACCCTGCCTCACATATATAGATTTAGATATATAAAGATAGTGAAACTTGCCCCAGACTTCGTGATTTATAGTCCCTAGGTGTGGGGCCAGAGCAAGTTCCTGGTCTTGGAGACAAATGACCAATGTGATGGAGAGCAAGTCACTTAACTTTTTCTTCATGTAAAACATGGAATTGAAAATGATACTTATAAACACTTTAGGTATAATCCCTAAACACTTTAGGATATGGGCGCACTCTTGACATTAGTGATGAACAAAACCCATTCCAGTTACTAAGCTCAAATCAGCCTTTTACTTTTATTCTTTGGTAACCTCCCAGAATGAAGTGTGAGTTATTTATCGATTTGTTTATTTTTATTTATCTATGGAACCTAGGGCCTCATATATGCTAAGGCAAGTGTACCACTGAGCTGCACCCAAACCTGAGAGTGGATCATTTAGAATGAGAGGCTAAAACAGTTCGAAGTTCCCACAGCTAATGGGTGACAGAATTGAGACTCCAATCCAGATATGATTGAAGTCAGTGTTACTCCCACTGTCATCTAAGAACCACGTGATTCCTTCTGTCCTGTAATCATGAAGCCATGTAAAGATGTGGGCAGATTAGAGAGACATGTGAAGGGTCTTGTATTTTACATTGGGAAGCTGAAACCTCAGGGGAAGTAATGACCTACTCAAGAGTATTTTGCACCTCTGACCTCACTATACCCATAGTACCTTATCATGCTATAGAGGTTTGCTAGCTTTCTGTGCCTTTGCAGCTCTGTTCAAAAGGTGGCATATATGTGGAGTTGGAAATATAGCTTGGTGATAGGATACTTGCCTAGCCTTCATTGAGGCCCTGGTTTGATCCCCAACACTGTTAAAAAAATAAAAACAAAAAACTTGAGCAGAGTCATTGGCAGAGCACCTGCCTAGCAAGTGTTAAGGCTCTGAGTTCAAACCATAGTACCAGAAAAAAAAAAACTGAGCGGTCATTCTTTATAACCCCTCCTACCAATATCAGCTGACAGCAGGCCAAAAGTAATAAGGCAAAAGAAAGACTAGCCAGGAGTTAGGGTACTACCATGCCACCCTGATTTTAGTCACAGTGTCACTCTCAAGTTTTCTGCCTCACAGGCATGGCCTTACTCTGTTCAGCAGGAGACCAATTCTCCTTAAGGAATTGATTTGATTGGTTCCTTATGACATCCCTTACAGTGTCTAGAGTTGGTTGATGGGAGCACTTCCTTTGGTCTTGAAACAAAGCAACAGGCCCATCCCTCATCTCTGTTCCCCAGACATATTACTTAAAGCCAGAAGTTTACTCTCCCAGCCAGGGGAGGATATGGCCCAGGGGAGTGGGGCACAGCTATCCAGAATGGAGGTGACTGTGCTTAGCAAGGGAAGGTTGGGTCTGGGCTTAACTCAGAGAAGTAAGTGTGTCTGTGCTTTCCATTGTCCCCTTGCATTTGCAGCTGGAAGATGTAGAGTGGGAGGACTGGGAATGAGGGGAGCCACAGCAAGCAGCTCCTCCACCCACGGCAACTTCCACCTCCTTCACTCAACTCAGCCTAGCCCTGGAAGATACTGAGAATGTCCCTCAAATGGCCTCTGCCATCTACAGCTTTGGGTACAGAACTCTGCTGGTCCTTTGGGCCTCTGCTTACACCTTGTGAAGAGGTTCTCTTAAATCCAAAGCCCAGAGCTCTAACTTGTGCCAACCTTAGGATGACCTAAGGGGAAGGACACCTACCCTGTCACCAGAGAGCCTACATTTCTCTGCGGAACACCCACTGTTCCTGGGGACTTCTGGAGGGACCCCAAGGGATAGGTCTAACCCTTCCACATGGATACAGATGAACCACCAGTCTCTTGGGGGAAGCTGAGACAATACTCTGTCCACCCATAAACAGGCAAGGAAGGCTATGCCACCTGCCCTTGGCTAAACAGGGACTTCAAGCACGTTTTAACTCCTGGCCCAGAGGGTAAGAGGCACTTGTCTCTGGGAAATTTGCCTCTCCTGGGAATCTTCCTCTACCCCCACCCCAACCCCAGGTATTTTTCCACTCCTGGAAAGTGTCTCTAGGGTTCAGAATCTAAGACCAAACCCCCCACCCCTGTCTTTTCTATCCTCCAGCCCACACAGGGATGTCCCCATACTTTCCTAGGGCTTCACATCAGATGCACCCGAGTCCTTAGCCCAGCTGTGCCACTGCAAGAGCCTACTCTTGCATTTCTTCCCCTCCCTAAGAAGGGAGGGGGCTACTTCAGGCCCCTCTGTGTGTTGCCTGGCAGGATACTTGGTCCAAGCAGCTACCTACCTTCATCTCCCTGGAGCTTAGGATACAAACCGGCTACTAGCGGTACGGAGTGGTGAGCAAAAGTGAGGACTCAGCCCTCTGCTCCCAAAGAGACATGCTGGGGGCGGACATCCTGAGACTCAGCCGGCTTCTGCAGAGGCTGCCCTTCCTGAAGACAGAGCCTGCTTGTGGCTCGCATTCTCCACCCTGGTAAAGCCGCACTTCTCTTGGGCTTGAGGGCTGCAGTGATTTCCTGGAGACCTTGGTGCTTCATGATGCTGCTCTGATGATTCTTGTATGTAAACTGGTGTGTCCACCAGTGATTTAAAGGGATCGTGGTCAAGGGCACCAAGAGTGGTGGGCACTTCACTTCAAACCTTCAGTGAGGGGGTGGGATGGAGAGAATGCTGAATCTTTTTGATGAGATGGGTTTTTCTCTTTGTAATTATTTCTTTAGTTTAATTAACCTTTTGGTTGTTTGTGCAATATTATATATTTTAAATTATAATGCATCTCCCCAGAGTATTTTATAGCCAGGAAAAGAAAAAAAAAAAAAAGATTCTAACAGCTGTTAGTTTTGTAATTAAAAAGGAACGAAAAAAGAACTTTGTTCTGAACCTTTTACAGACTTGCCATAACAGCATTAAAGAGATTCAACAGAAGCTGGAAGATGTCTAGGGATCTGTTTCTGTCCCCCATGGCACCCACACTGGAGCCTAGGCAGGACTTACACTCTGCAGCAGTGACTTCAGGTGGGGATTATAGTGTGGGTACTGAAGAAGTCCCTTGTCCTCACCTCAGACTTAGCTTGGCCTCTGGGATGAGGAAGGGCTGGGGCCCCAGTAGGCCTCTCACCAAGACGGAGTCAGGAGGCTGTTTCTGCATTCCCAATGCTTCTGCTTTTATTTGGAAAGGAAGTTGTAGTAACAGTGGTTCCAATTGCTCTTGGTCATTTTCCTCCTCTCCTCCCCCTGTGTATAGATGATTCTGGGGTTTAATTTAATTAGCTTTAAACACCTGTATGAAAATTACTTGTCAGCTATTAATAAAAGGGAAGTCTGAATGAGGCCCGTGGTTCCATGAAGATCTTTAGAGGGGAGGAAGTCTGGGGAGGGTGTAGGTAAGTTTTAGGATAAGTAAACTTAAAGTGTAAAATATATATCACCATTTTAGAAGCGGGTTTTTGGGTTTGCTTTCTCCCCCTACTTTATTGGGGAGGACTTGCCATTGCTTTTATCAAGTGCTTGCTAGCCATGGGTGCCGACTAACTTCTTCAATTGAAGGCCGGAGGGCCATGTCTGGCTCCAGGAGCCGCTTGAGCAGGTCCTGGCATTCGGTCGAAATGCCCAGATGAGTAGGGAAGGACACCCCCTTCTGCTGCTGCCACAGCATCTTGGGGATGTCTGTGTCGTCAAAAGGTAGGCTGGCACAGAGCATGACATACAGGACCACGCCCATGCTCCAGACGTCACCCTTCTTGCTGTCATGGGGAATACCCTGCAGCACCTCAGGGGCGGCATAGGCTGTGCTGCCGCAGAAGGTCTGGCTTAGCTCCCGACGTGACTTGGGCACCACCTTGGCAAAGCCAAAGTCAGTCAACTTTAGGTTGAAGCCCTGCAACAAGGCGTTCTCACACTTGAGGTCCCGGTGGGCCACGCCACAGCCATGGCAGTAGCGGATGGCCTCGACCATCTGGCGGAAGAGGGCCTTGGCCCGGCTCTCAGGCATTGGCCCCCCATTCAGCACACAGTCAAAGACATCCCCTCCCTCAGCCAGCTCCATCACCAGGTAGATCTTCCCATCAGCAGACTCCAGCATCTCATACACCCGGACGATGTTCTTGTGGTCCAGGGTACGGACGATCTGGAGCTCCCGGGGCAGGAATCTCTGGATAAACTCTGAAGAAATAGAGGGAAGAAGAGATGAGCTATTAAAATCAGAAAGGCCTAACTCTTCACTCCTCCCAGTTTCTATCCATCCTGTCTGGGTCCTGTGCCTTTGCTCCCTTAATAGTCTCAAACTAAAAGATTATAGTCTTTGAACATTGCAAAGAATATCCATTTCTATGACTTTTGTAGTTAATATATTGTTACAGGAACTACTCTCTACCACTCTGGGACTATTGTGAGCAGTCTTTGAGACAACAGTATCCAGATATTTGAGGGACTTAAGACACCAAAGAATCCCCAAAGGCCAGCTCCACCCACCCATGCCTTCTGATCTCATAGTTCTAGGAGGCTTATCTTCTTTTCCACGTCCACCTGTCTTGGCACCTGCTGGCCCTAGGTGTGGCCTCTGCCAGTCTCTTCTGGAAAAGAAGCCCATGGACCCGTCACCTGTGCCACTTTAATCTTGGACTTGGAAAGGTGTGATGCTCTTGGACTCCCAGTAGCCCTCTCTTTCCCACTTACCTAACCCAAGGCCATAACCTGGTTTTCCGGAGTCCCTAAATTTTTTTTTTCCAGTACTGGGGTTTGAATTCAGGTCAGGGCCTTGCTTTTGCTAGGTAAGCACTCTACCACTCCAGCCTCACCTCTAGCCCTGAGAAGAGGGAATTTTTCTGACTGAAGGAAGCACCAGCCCACCTTGCTTCCCCACCCCCTTCCTCCACATGGGCCCCCAGCTCACCTTCTGGCCCTCCCATCTTGTCTATAATTTTAATTGCCACTTTTCTTTGATGTTTTTTGGAAAATGCTTCTTTGACTTTTGAGTAGGTCCCTTCCCCAATGGTCTTGCCCAGCTGGTACCCATTGGAGAGCAGAAAGTCCTCCATGCTGTCTAGCGCCTTCCTATCACCCTCTCAGCTCATGCTGCCTCAGCGAGGCAGCTCTACTCCACCATCGCCCTTGGCCTGCTCCTTTTCCCCCCAAGGACTTCATCCACAGCCGCCTCCAGCGCTAGAACATTCTCCGTCCGGACACAGCCACGGGTGGTGCGGCGCGAGAGGGTCAGACATTTTAAAACTCTGGCCCAATTGTGATGTAAATGCTGTGTGACCCTTGGCCAAAATGGGCAATGGCCCTACCTGTCCTCACCACCACCACCAAACCCAGAACAGGTTAAGTCACCGCCTTCCCCACAACCCGCGCCAGGCAGTGAGTTGCGGCTCCGCGCGTGGGGGTTCTCCGCGTGGATGCCGCCTCCCAGCGGGTTGCCCTCGGCTCCTGCGCCTCCATCGAGAGGGTGGGGGATGGCATGACCGGCCTCCGCGCGAGGAGCAGACCCTCTAGCTCCAGGCTCAGGCCCGCATTAAGTGCCGGGGCCGTGCAGGGTTCCCCGGAGGGAGGAACAGGCTCTGTGAGGTCAGTGTGCCGTGGCTCGGGTCACAATGCAGCCCTCCCCCTCGATGCCTCGGCCCCGGCGCGGCGCAGACACCTGCCCGGCTCCGCCCGGACCGGAGCGTCTTCCAGAGGCCAGGGCTCGGGCAGCTGCTTTCAGCCTGGGACCGGCCTCGGCCTCGGCCTCCGGCAGGTGAGCAACGGCCCGGGGGGCGGGCGCGGGCAGAGGGGGCCAGCGGCCTGACCGCCACTCCCCGCGCAGAGCGCCCCGGGGCCGGACATGAGTGCCCAGGAGCCCCCGCAAGGTCGAAGATTCCCCATTGAGGCCGGAGACTCCCCTGGCCTTGCAGCCGCCCCCGAGTCCCAGGACAGCCCGGAGCCAGTAGCTACGGAGCACAATCCGGTCAGGTGAGGCCCCGCCCCACTTCCCAGCCCCAGTCCGGGAGGACCCCGGGGGCTCCCCAACTTCCTGGGGCTGAACCTAGGCCTCAGCGCCCCCTTGTCGCGCGCGCGCTGTTTTCCCCAGGCCGCTACGACGCTGCCCCGGCTGCCACTGTCTGACGCTGCTGCACGTGCCCATCGACGTCTACCTGGCCATGGGCGGGAGCCCACGGGCCCGCGCCACCTGAGTGCGCCTGCGCACGGCGGCTCCGCGGGAGCCGGGCGGGACAGGCCCGCCGCGGGGCACCACGCTGAGGTCGCACGCGCAGAGCACGAGACAATGATGCACATTTTAAAATAAAAGAATGATGCACATTTTAATAAAGCACAGCATAAACTGTTCTTTCCATTCTGGGCTGGCCGTGTATGTCTATCCGTCGGTTGGGGCCCACCAGCTGCTCCTCTCCATTTCAATAGTACCATCTCTTCGCTAGGGCCGGCCCTTCCTAGTCCGTCCTCTGCACCGCACCACCCTCCTCCCAGTTTTTGCCGGTCATGACCCTTCTCGGGCAGACTTCCCCTCGCGGCCTTCTATCTCCCTATCCCTGTCCTTGGTTCCCCACTGAAGTTCACATTCCAATGCTAGACACCGGCGACCCGCAGGAGTTTGGGAAGGAAAAAATGGGAAGACAATTTAGAAAAAAAAAAAAAAGAAAGAAACTGGTCACAACAAGCCCGTGTAATTCTCCCGAGTTGGAATTAGCTACGATGCTGGGAGTTGAACTCAAGGCCTGGAGGTCTACCACTTGAACCACACCCCTGGCCTTGGAATTACGTTCAGCTACCTGCTGTTTTGTGACCACGGACACCTCCAGCTTTAGAAAGGTTTAGTAGGGTTTAGGGACTGCCCCAGTCCATTTTGAGTTTGGGAAAATGGTTGTTTGAAAAACTGGTTTCTTCATTTCCTATTTTTCAAGTGAAGGACCTGAAAGCCTTGAGAGACTTACTGAAGGTCCCCAAGATGATGTGTGATTCTCAGTGCCTTCAGACTGGTTACCTTAAAATAGGAGAGGCCCATGATTCAAAGGCTGAATCATTTATTTACTTTCCAATTTTGCTATCAGGAGGCTGGTGGAGTGGCTCAAGGTGTAGGCCCTGAGTTCAAGGCCCAGTACTGAAAAGAAAAAAAGAAGAAGAAACGGACCTTGCTAATGGGCCAGACCTTGGCGCTAGTCAGATCTACTGTGTCATGATCCAAGGCCAAGGGCGTTCCAGGTGGTGGGAACATTGTGGGTAAAGGTCTAGAGGCAGGAAGGTGGTTGGCAAGTGCAAGGAATTCAGGGTTTGAGGGGTTTTTTGGTGGTACTGCAGTTAGAACTCAGGACCTATACCTTGAGCCACTCCACCACCCTGTTTTTTTAGTCTTTTTGTGAATTTTTTTTTTCTTTTTGAGATAGGCTCCCAAACTATTTGCCTGGGCAGGCTTTGAATCTCTGTCTCCTGAGTAGGTAGGATTACAGGTGGGAGCTACCAGCATCTGGCAGGAATTCAGTTTTCATTGACACCTTCCAGGACCACATCGGGCTGAGAGCCCACATCTACTGCAGGGGATCTTGGGATGACTTAAAAGAAGCTGGATCTAGGGAGTCTTCAAGTACCAGGCTGAGAAGTTTGTACTTTTCTGTAGGGCAATAGGGAGTATAATAGGCTCTAACCTGGATGTCTTCTTTCCCCCTGGAGCAGCCACTGGCTTAAATTCAGTCTGAGTTTAAGTCCTGCCTCTGCCATTTTCTAAGTGTACAACTTTGGACCAATTTTCTAAGCCTCTCAGCTTTTATTTCCAATTCTGGAAAATGAGACCAAAATCACCTTCTGCAAGGTTTTCATAAGGTTATACCTATACAGTACCAGATAGGAAGCCCTGGCCCAGTCAGCCCTTGAGCAACAGGCCAAAACTGCTGCTACTCAGATCTTTGGCTTCAAGGGGCAGCAGAGAGCCAAACAGCCAAGGGCATTGTCCCCAGGGACTGGGTGATGTCCAGCCTTGCAGGGGGCTGGGGAAACCCTTTTGCCTTCTTTTCAGAAGCCAAGAACTTAGGGGAGGGGGCATATCCAGAAGAATCTCCAGGTGAGAAAGGCAAAGATTCGTCCTTCATTCTCAAGGGTAAAGCTGTCCCCAGACTCCAGTGCAGGACCTCCAGATCCCAGCCTTATTTTCTGGGCCTGAGCAATGAGGGACCAGGAGAAGGGGATGCTTGAATCACTACCTTTCCTGACTTCCCTCTCAGACATTTTATTAGCTGGCCCCTCCCTTAGGGTCCCTCTTTTGGAAGAAGGGGGCGAAGTACAGATGGACCCCCCACGTTTCCATGGAGATGGCAGGGAAAGGGTTGCTGTATCACCATAGTAACAATTGACGTCAGCACTACCCTTTCCCATCGCTTGATATGAGAGGGGGGTAGCCACCCCAACTACCAGCAAATCCCCCACAAAGCCTCCTCCCCTTACTCAGCCAATCAAGCAAGGGGTGGACAGGCTTAATATAGCACAGGAGGTAAAAGCAGAGACTCTGATGTCAGTCAAACCTCAGTTCAAATCCTTGTTCTGCCTCATCCTAGCTGTGTGAATTTGAGTGAGTTCTTTAACACTTTGAAGTCTCATAGGTATGATGGGGACAAACTGGCCTCTGAGGACTAGGGTGAGAGGATTGTTCGGGATCGATCATACAGGTCATAGATATTGGGACAGCTCACAGGATGTACACACTGATGTTCACTTACCATCTTGAGACCTGTTGGGGTTGGTGGGGAGGGGGGGAGGTTGTGGCCCTTCAAACATACACTCACAGTCTCTAGAGAGGACCCTAGCACTTCCAAGGACTGGGTCACAGGATTTGACCATCTCAGGACCTGGGGTCTTGGGCGGAACCAGAGACAGTGGAATTTCCAGGCTCTGAGGAAACCCCAGAGCCACTTTCCCTGAAGCCCCATCACATCCGGGAACCCAACTTCCTCTTTCTCCTCCCCCCTGCCTTGTACTAGGCCTTCTCAGCAGGCCTTGTACTAGGCCTTTGACCTCTAGACCCTCCATCTGCCTCTCTAAGTAAAAGGATGAATGAGGACCACAGGAAAACATGAGGTAACCCCATCAGGTAGAACAGGGGTTGGACACTACAGGGAGATGGTGTCTGAGCACCACTGCCCTCTCCCCACCTACTCTCCGAGGATGAAGACAGAGCATCTCATCCTCTCCCTTTTCCCCAACCCCCAATCCAAGCAAACACAATTTATTCTGCCCGAATTCCACATGAGTGAGACCCATCCTGAGTGAAGCCCCATCTGGGTTCCTTCAGCAGCCTGCTAGCCAGCCTCCCTGCTTGCTTTTTCACTCAATTCCTTCAACCCATGCCTGGACTAGCTTCTCCTTGGAACCACACTTATCCTTCAGGTCTCCATCAGTTGTCACTTGTCAAGGAGGACTCCCCTAACCATGATTCATCCCTCCCAGAGCACCTGTTTGTCCCATATGTTGCTGATCCCTGTTTAATGACTGTCTGGGGACTCAGGGAGGGCGAGGCTGTGTCATATTCATTCTCACATCTTGGGGCCCAGAATGGGAAGACTCAGGACTTTTTCCACTAGACTAGCTAGTGAGTGACTGCTTGAGAAGTCCATAGAGTCAAGGTCCTAGTGCTGTGGAGAAAAGGAGTGGCAGAGCTACCTGGCCTGGACATGGTTTGGGGAATGGCTCTCATGAGGAACTGACACTTGAACAAGCAAGACATGGGAGTAGGAAATGTCCTGGTTCTGGGTTCATTTGTGAACTTTGTGTTGAAGAAACTGTTCAGAGGGACACAGGGCATTCTCATGTTTTGGAAGGACAACCCTAGCTTTCCTGTGGGGACAGATCATATAGAGAATCTAGAATGGCAGCAAGGAGACAGGAGGCTATTGCAGAATTCCTCCCCACCAAGTGCAAGGTGATGGGGCCTTGGACCAGGTGTGGGTGGAGAAAATGGAAGGAAGCAATGAGATGTTAGATATGTCCTAGAGAGGCCAGAATTTCTTATCTGCTTGAATATGAAAAAAAAGAGACAGGGCAGACTCTAGAACCAAGCCCAGATTTCTGGTTCAGGCAACTAGAAAACGAGCCAAGCTGGGGAACATGGAGGGAGGGCAAGTGTGGGGCATGATTGCTGTGAGGTGGGACATCCAGTAGAGAGCTCCAATAGCTGGGCTGAAGCAAAAGTGTCTCTGACACAAGCTGAAGGCATGGGAATCCATGGGACTGTCAGGTACACACTGTAGAGGGCCCAAGATCAGCCAAGATTAGGCAGTGAACATTGGATGACAGCACCTGACAAAGATGGCAAGGAATCAAGAGAGCACAGTGTCCCAAAAACAAGGGCCCCAAAGTATCTGAAACAACAGGAGGGAGTTTTTGACTGTGTCAAAGTCAGTTACCACTAAGGGGTCAAGTCAGATAAAGCATTCCTTAGATTTAGCAACCAGGAGGTCAGTGGTGACCTTGAGGAGCTGTTCTGTGGAATGGTGGGGGAGGAAGCCAGATTGCAGGGGTCCAGGGAGGAAGTGGAAACAAAGTGAGTACACAACTCTGTCAAGAATGTTTGCTGTGAAGGGGAGCTGGAGCAAGGTGTGGGGTCAAGCAGGGCTTTCTGTTCTTTCAAAGATGGTTAAGACTAGGGCCTGTTTGTTTGCTGATGGTTGGGAGCCATCAGGGAGGGAAAAGTTGAAGATGGGAAAGAGAAAGGAATTGGAGGAGGGAGATTCCCCAAAGAGGGAAAAGGGATCAGAACCCCAAATATGGCTGAACAATTTGGGGTCAAGCCAGAACCTGTGCTGAGCACTGGGGGCTCAAAACAGTTGCTTACTCTACCCAGCAGCCAGCTTGAGTCACTTGGAGGGGGAGGTGGATATCCCAAACTGGCAGTGTGGGAAAGGAAGTTGGGCCAGCAAGTTCCTCAGGATTCCCAGAGGGGTCAGGGAGCAGGGCCCAGCCTGGACAGGGAGCCCTGAACCCCATTCTCTGAGCAGGACAAGGGTACAGAAGAATTACCTCATCTTTTCTAGTGACAGGTAGACTTGTGGGAAGCTTGGGTTTTATTTTTGGTTTTCTCTGCTTCTGTCTGATCCTGTTTCTTCTTTAGCCAAGAGTGGGTTAAACCAGATCAAGGATTTTTAACTTTTGAGGGGAGAGGAGATATCAGAGAGTCTTTATATTCTTTTGAGACATATGTGTGTTTGGAAGTTTGCAGACAGCGGGCCAGAGAGGAAGTCCTCTTGAGATATGGGTTCCCCTGAACACAGCATCAGGGGTTTGAGAGCAAGGCTGGAAGAAGGGTTTCTCCCAGGGGTAAATGACCTTGCTGCCCTTGGTCCCCTCTTATTG